GACTTGATTCTCGGCGCGCGTTATCGTTCAATTATGCGAGAATGGAGCAGGGATTAATTATAGATCTTTCACCCGTCCGTTTCGAAACGGCATTCTTCACCAGCGCGCGTGAAATTATATCATTCTAATTTGTGACTCGAACGAGATCTTTTGAATTGAAATTTTTTAGTCCGATTATTGCTCGTCGCGAGTGGCGAGCAAAGCTACTTCGTACGTACGCGATGGGCTTCGGCGATTCGTTTTCTTTCATTGCAACGACACGCCCGAATAAAAAAAAGCTTCTCTGAACTGTCACGTTACGGTAGTGAGAGCAGAACGCGTTACTTTCAATTTCAGCGACTTGAGAACGTTGGCGTGCCGTTGCACGATTTCCGCGTGTGATGTATGCAACGTGACAGGAGGCGAGATTGATTAAGCTTAAATTGAGTTATTACGTTATCCAGCTGTTATCTGTACACCACGGCGTTCCATGGTGCATCTAGGGCGTAATAAAGGGGCTCGAAGCTGAGGAGAAAAATAATAAAGGACGGCGAGGGGAATGAAAAATCGATGCCTCGGTGCCTTGATAAGGCATAAATAATTATCCGTGTGAAAAAAAAAAAAAAAAAAAGAAAAAAATCATAACGTGATTCGCAGGGAATATCCAGTATATATAAATAGACTCTGAGAACTTGGAGCGAACTGCTCGAATCGCGTTTGCTTGTTTTTAAAACGAAAGTTTTACCAGAGCTTCCTTCTTCGAGCTCCATTCGCAGAAGATTAAACGTTCATTATCAGTGATAATCTAAGCGATTATTTTACTTGTCTACCCAGCTGCTGTCCCATTCTACTCGTCCGCCCAGATACGTTCTCGCCACGTCTCGTAAACACAAGCACAATCGTATTCTCTACACTGTCGCACGCGGTCCTATTATACTCGGCTGGCCAGTCACCGTTTCTACTCCTTCCGTCTGATAAGATACCGTGGCATTCCTCTTCTCCGCCTAGCGAAGACAGCGCGTTCCGTTCCACTTTTCCGCTCTTCCACGTAACCCAGTAAACTTATCTCGCTAAATCTAAATCATCCTTCATACACGTCTCCACACACATGCACACACTTCCACCGTCCGTCAGTCGAAACTCGAATTAATCCGAAAATTCATTTACCTTCAAACGAACGTGACGCGCGTTATTTATGCTTCCTTTAATTAATGTATGCACGTGTTTGAACAATTTGTGCAATTTGACGGAGAGAAAATAATATTTCCCTTGATTCAGACAAAATTTTCGAGAGCCAAGTCACGATGTCCACTACAGCAGTCAGAGATCGAAAGTACACAGGGCTATTCAAAAGAGCTATGTCTTGAGATTTTTTTCGAGAGTAAATTTGAAATTTTTGTAGAAGAATTGTCTAACCCTGAGCATTTTCTATCCTTCTACGACGACTGAAAGCGCCTGGGGAAAAAATCGTGGTGACCGTTAAGCGCACACTGTACGTCCCGCAGATGTTCCACCCGAACATTCGCCCCATTTTCCTAACTGGTACACGGACTGATACAGAATGCAAAACCAGCCATTACACCCTCTTCTTACGCGAGGCGCGTGAAATACGCTCCTTACGATACTAATACCGTGCAAACTGCCCGTACTTGCAGTCCCGCCGCTGGAAGTGAAGATAATCGGGTCGAACCAGCCGTTGTCGGCGGGCAAGAGGTACGAGCTGATGTGCACCACATCCGGCTCCAGGCCGCCAGCCACCGTTACCTGGTGGAGGAACGATCAGCATTTGCTGGAGACGAAGGAGACGGTAAGTACCTAGACACTAGCAAAACAATACGGGCGGCGATTCGGTTGGCTATTCCCTGGCCGGACGTAAATCGAAGTCGAAACGCTCTTAAATCACTGAAATATCTCGCGGAGATATATACTTGTCGAGAGAGAGAGGAACAACGTCGCGATGCAACAAATCTCAGGGCAGCGCCGTCCATACGGAATCATATTTCAAGCGAAACTTTTTAATCCAATTTTCGCTTCTTTTATCTTTGTCTGAAGGCAGCCGTTGTTACAGGATGATACGATCAAACCTTTCGTTATCAGATATACACAACACCTATTGACACGTATTTTGAAGTAATCACATAAATAAAAATATATAACACGCTTTAGCCAGCTCGAGCTTTTCCTGTTTTTTTTTTTTTTTTCTATTCGACAGCGAAATATTTATATTATCGTGACAACAAATCTTTCTTAATCTATCGCAAGTCGGAAAAGATCGGCGTAATAACTGTTAATCTCCTAAAAATTTGAAGTTAGATTTGACAAATTGAGTTAGGTTAGATTATTGAAGTTTATTTAAAAAAAAAAAGCATTCTAATCTCACGTCATCCATTTTAGAACGGATTAACGGACTCGGGAAATGATTCGATCAGTGCGTACACTTTTGGCGTGCGAGTCCCGTTCAAAGACGAAAGGGTGAAGTAGAATGATACAAATGTAATTGCCAAGAAAATAGAATTTTAACCTCTTGGCCTATGATTTAATTCGGAAGAAGCCGTGCCCAAACGATGCGCCCGAATGGTCGGGAAAGGAGCCGAAGCAGCGGAGACCGAGTGTCGGAATTTGAAACACAATATCTTACGACTGAGAACGGGATAGCCGTGTTCACTTCACGCGATGGTGCTCTTGT